CCGGCAGTTAAATACAGCATAACTTGGCCCCGAATCATGCAAATTAGCAGACATTTCTTACAACTGAGTGACATTTCGTACCAATTGCATTCATAGTATGCATCTTGCACACTTATACACTAAACACAAAACAATCGAATATTAAGCATTTAATATGAAAATTGCGATAAAAATTCTTGTTATTAGTAATGTCATACAAAATTTGTTCCTCTGTATAACATTTATAGGTTTGTTCGCGTTGTTGCTTGAAATCTCAAAAAATGTTTACACTTTAAACAAAATAAATATATGTTTGGACGTTGAAAAGAGAAAAAGCGAAAATGCTGAATGTAAAAAGTGTAACACGAACAAACCTATTGTTTATTGCTCCTCCCAACAATACCTGTTGAGTTAGTTGGTCACCAATCAAACAATATCCGAAGAGCATGACAAGCGCAATAATAGCAAAAAAAATAAAAGTGCAGCAGGTGGCTATTTCTGACACATCCAAGTTCTAAAAAGTATAAAATATCACGAGATTGCATATATATATATAATAATGTATATATGTATATTATACATGTCTGATAAAACTAGCTTCCAAAGAGGCAAAATGGATTAAAAAACTAAAAAGAAAAGTCTTGTACCATTTTGCATTTTTTGTATTAGTTAACAAGTTATTAATTTATAAAAATAGCCAAATTTACCCGGTCTACCGCCAAATGCAAGCGCGCGACGATCTAAGATCATCCAGCGAGTTAATGCCAATTCGCTTGTAAACAACGTGCCTAAAGGACGTGCTTCTTTCTGGGGGTGCGTTCCACTAAACGTTCGCAACGCTCCCGTGTATAATTTCATCCTTGTCTAATATTTGATGAGATATACAAGAAGGATGACATGATACTTGCGAGCCTTAAGTGGAACGCATCTTGGGCGATCTTATATTGCCGCGCGCTTGCATTTGGCGGTAGGTTGAGCAAATTTGGAAATTTTCATAAATTAATAACTCATTAACTAATGCGATAAATGCAAAATGGTACAGAACTTTTTTACTCAGTTTAGTCCATTCTGTCCCTATACGAGAGTTTTATCTGTTAATTATTTCACATCCTGTATATATAGGACGTTCTATAACATCCAATTATAATTTTGTTGTTTATTTAACATTTAAAATTAATTTTATCTTAACAAAAAATTTAGCATGTTTGAACTCTCTATATTGATAAGAATTAGTAATGGCTCTTGCACACACATTGGACGCGGAAACGCTTGCCGCGCGGCAAAATATGACGCGGTAGCCAACCCAGTGAGAAATGATAATGGAATCGACATCAAATCGATGTCGATTCGACGTCGAAATTATCAAATCAACGTTGATTCGATGTTGATTCGATATCGATTCCATTATCATTTCTCACTGGGAATAAGTTTACAGCTCCTAACGCATGTTCATTGGTTACCGCGTCGCATTTTGCCGTGCGTTAAGCTTTTCTGGTTCCAATGTGCAGGAGCCATAACAGAGGACATTGGATAGCTGAATACCATCCTTGTTCGATTGTGCAGTTGTTCAGGAAAAGAAAACGAGAGATGCGGTTATCTTTCTCGTTTTAATACATCCTCATAAAGAGAAATTAATGGCGAATTCGGCACACATGCACTGACTCCGCTCTAGAGCTGCCCTGACATGGTGCGAGTGTAGAACTACTTTAGTGCTATGCCAAATTGCACTGTCAGAAACGTCAGTGCAACATTTTTTGAACTCGTTTAGTTCATTCGGTTGGTCCGAATATAAATTCAGCACTTCTGGGTCAGTTTTCATTTGCCGAATACGATAATCTTAACGTACTGATACAGAGCGTACAAGCCGAATACGTGACACTGAAAAAGTTCGCACTCATTGCGCACTAGTGCGATCTGCTGAATTCCTGCTATAAAGCCGGAATCAGACTATGCATTGAAGATTGAGATTGAAGATTGAAAGATTGAAATTTGACCAATCAAAATAGAAGCTAAAATCCCTTGGTCCTCATTGGTTAAATTTCAATTTTCATTCTTCAATCTCGATCTTCAATGCGTAGTCTGATTCCAGCCTAAGTGTAATGCAAGTGAACGTGGAGGCCATCTTAAAATATTTTTTTTTTTTATCACAAGTTTATATTCTACTCACTAACATTTGATATCGCTAAATTAAACTTTTCATAATAATAATATTTAATAATATGACATACCATTATGACATAATACAATGAGATAGCCAGTACAACACTGTTGCCAACGAGTTCATCCAAAAGAATCAAATTGAAAGTATTGTCCACGGACTTCGCCATCCTTCAATCACCATAATATTTCCGCCAGCATTATATATACACAAAGAATAAAGAAGCAAATTAAACAAAGAGATCTACTATGTGATGAATATATGATTGTTATATTCCTACCATATTATTTTGAGATGCATTCGAACGAAGCTACGAATTCTGTCTACTATCATGGTTTGCGAGTATTCTTTAATATGTCTAATGCGATATGCCAAAATGGACAACTCGCCGCAAATGTGAAATACTAAGATAACCATCAGGCAAATCGCTGCCATGTGACATACAGAAAAATAAATCATTGGAAATAGATAGAGATACATCAATATGTATGTATGAGTATTGCTGATATCGAAAAATGGATGAATTCTATAGGGTAACATGAAAGACTTCGTATTGTTTCGTGGTGCTGAAAAAAGATGACAGAACGAAGAAATGTTGACAAAAATAGACGAAAAACAAATTTTTCTTTGAAGAAAGTACATTGATAACAATTAACATATTTGAACAATATAGAGTAACTTTTTTCTATAATTTTACAGTGACAGATTGATTAATAATAAAATAATGAGACAATATATGTGATGTAAATCTTTATTTATTATACATACAGTATATGTATATATTATGATTTCTTTATATATATATTTATTATATAGATACAATATGTTTAAATTTATAATAATTAGCAAAAGAAAGTTTGATTTTACATACCTTGATTAAAAGTCAAGAGATACACAAGCGGTCTAAGATACAACAGTACGACCGTGATGAACATGCCAACAATTGAGCCATAGGAGAATATCTTGGATATAAAATTGTAATTATAGTAAATCCTTTCCTCTTCCAAATTCTCGAATTTGCGTTCAACCATATCCTTTTTTATTACATGAATTACGAGTTTTAGCAAATTACTGCAGCGTATCAGCCACAAGAATGAGAACGTCATGGAATAAGCTATCGTTTCCACGAGATTCATCACCATCAGCTCCAAATTACCAAAAGCATCGTAAAAATCGACATACGCCATAATGAGATAAAGAGTGAAATGCGAGATATAAATCGCGAAACGGATGTATGTTTGTTTGAACGGCCATATTCCTCCGATGGAAAAGATCCGTTCTAAATGAACAAATAAATCTTCGATACGGTCGACTTCGTTCTGTAATATTACATTCAGAATAAAAATTGTTGAAAGTGATATAACATTGGTTAAATTACGTAGGTACTAAAGGAAATATATTACTACAATTATATTATACGATCAGTATCACAAACGCAGAGAAACTGTCTTCTCCGGCGAAATGTTTCGTAATAGAATATTAACTTCTTACTTTCATAGCAAATCGAGTTGTAGGTTTTCATCAACAGATTGTCTGCGCGGACTGTGATGTTCATTTCGTCGAATCAGACTTTTGCCGCGATTATCCATGCATGCAACGGTCGAAACATATAACATCTAGATTAGACTAATGTTTGTCTAATGCTTATCATTTCGCTATTTTAGATTCTATACACTTGATATATTATAATAAGCGATCTGCTATCAAGTTATTATTAGCCAGCACTTTTCCTAGCGCAATAATTATCTTACCGTCTCATGAAAAGCCTCTCCTTTGATTCATCTTAGATTCTAACAATAAGCTTCTATTTTTTTGTATCTGGTATAATGTAGAAAAATTGCAGCGATTGTAATACATATGATACAGAGAATAGTTAAACTTTTCAATGTTTCTAATAAATTCTCAATAATATTATTAGTGTAATCGTCTTCGCGTGCTGCGCAAATCCGTCGTATTAACTGACGTCCCCGAAGAAACAGTAACTGTATAGCATTATAAGCAACATGGCAAAATCACGCTACCTGTTAAATAGAAAAAGGTAACGTTCAGTGTAGCTTGAGTCCTTAAGTCTAAAAATATTTATGTAAAATTGATTTTTAAAATCAAGAAGTAAAATATTCATAGAAATAGAGATACTACATCGCATTTCGACATCTACATATATTTCTATATTATTTATTATAATATAAAGCTTATTTATTGTAAATATATTATTTATTGTAAATATATAAGTACATTTGAGCAACTTAATATCAAAAAAATTAATGATCTTAGACACAAAAGAACTGATTGTTGGTCACTGATATTTGCAAAAATATCTTCGGCATGTGATTATACTTGTAATAAAGTTTTTCTTCCGGAAGCTTCGTAGACAATGTTGGTCAAGAAGGTTCGAATAGGAATAGTCTGTGACAACGAACTGTCCTTGTTGAGTGAAATCATCAATTTTTATAGTTGAATGACATCCAGCATATCATGGATCTTCTTTACATCTTCAGTGAAGCAAAATATTCTGTTTGAACAAGCGACGAATAAGTCACGTTACGACGAAGTGATCAGAGTCTGCCAAATAAGAGTCAGACATATAGACTTCGTATCTTCATTACGACTGTGGGGATGAAAGAGACATTTGAGCCAAAATCAACCTAGCACAAGCGATCTATAATAATATCGATACTTACCTGCTAGACGATCCCCTCTTCGTGGATTCGCACGTCAGCAGACATCTCGTCGACAAGTGCATCTGCAGTATTTAAAGGTGAGAGTGGCACGGTGCAGCAAAATATTCATATTGTGATGAACAAGAAAATGTTTGCAATTTTACAATTTTTCTATGATTGTTTGTCAAGTTTCACTTAACCAATTATTAATATTTTTTAATTGCTTTACTTTAAATAACTTGATAATTATGATCGACTTGTGAATAATGAAGTTCTTTGATTGCAAATCATTTTGGATGATAACCTCTGAATGCATTTACCTCAGATACGTAACAGTAATAATAATAGTAAAAATATGTTAGAGATGGTTCGAGATTATATAAGATGATACTAAATTGAGCGATCTTTTTTAAATTTATAATATATACAAATCAATTGAAGAGTATTAATTGTGCAATACTTATGTAAAAATTTTTTATTTACATATAACAGCAAACGATATTTTAAATAAGGAACTTATTTTTATGTATAAAATTTGTTTTAAAATAAATATATATTTTACATAAAAGAACAATATTAAAAATAAAAATATTATATAAAAACAATTTACAGTTTTTGATAACAATAATGCTTCTTTTTCTCTTCTCACTCTTTATTATAAATTATACATTTATTTCTATTTGAGCATGTTCAATTTATAAATTATTTTTGCACACGCTTCCAAAAATTATTGCTCTTCAATGATGTTATAAGAGAGAACGTAATACTGATAAATATCCCATGGATGTTTTCAAAACCTGTTAAAATAATTTATTTCTGAACAATGTTTTCGTGTTCTTATATTAACAGCGACGATATTTAAAATGTTCAAAGTTAAGTGAAGCCTTTTTATTTAAAAAATTTTACAAATTATCAGCTTACGTCAGTTAAAGTGCTGAGGCAAAACATGGTAAATTTTCCAGCTATCAGGCAGAGGGGTTTCTGCGATCTTGCCATGCATAATATTAGCATTCGCGCATTGTTCTTTGACATGTCATACCAACGGCAATTATAAAACGCTTCACACACTTTAGCACTCTGTGGAAAGATTATTTACACTATGAAAAAAATAATAAAAAATCGTGCATAAATATCAAACACAAATTTTATTATGTATATTATTTTATATGCATATTATATATAGCTCTTTTTTAATTTCCATCTTATCTTTCATAAAACATTACCTCTGTCAAAAGATTCTCGCCGATAGTACAATGAGCATAAAGTATAAGCAGGACTAAGAATATGAATATAAAGAATTTCACCAAAAGTGCAACAACTCCTGTCTCACCCTTAGAAAGATTCTATTCACATAAAATTGAAAATTAAAAGGTTAATAATAAATTGTAATTAAAAATATAGTGAAAACACTTAACCAATAATATTTAAAAAAAATTCTCAAATCACTTTTTATCTTCGAATTTTTTATTGCAAAATACAAATATACATATGTGTAAAAATAGATTATCTTACTAATAAAAGTATCAATGCTACAAACTGATTCTTTTTGCATAATATTATTTTAACTAAAGTTGTGATATGCGAATTTATTTTTACGTATATATATATATATATACACATAAATATATATATATGTAAAAATAAATTCGCATATATATGTATATATATATCAGGCCTGCAGCCGAATTGCACATTTCGACCTATTTTGCCTATCGTCATCTCCACTCCTTTTGTTTGATAGCATTTAGATCGTGTGCGGAGACATAAAACGCCCGAACCCAGGGATGATGTTAGCCATAACTCATACAGGGCATTATAGAGTTATAGGACTTTGAAACATATTGCCTTACATTCACTGTTTATAAATTTTTATTATTATAATTATAATTATTATTATGATGTTAGAAATTCAATTTATTTATTAAAAATAATTTTTTCAATATTTTTCAGTATGCAAATTTAATTAACATACATGTTCTATTTTGAAATACGTGTTACTTTTGAATTTCTAACATCGTAATAATAATAATAATAAAAATTTAACAGTGAATATGAGGCAATATGTTTCAAAGCCCTATAGTGCCCTGTATGAGTTACGGTTAATATCATCCCTAAGTTGTAGACTTAATATATATATACAGCATACCCTCAAATTCGCTAAAATACATAGCAAGAAAATTTTCGAAAAATTAAATAAAAAACGTTATTTCTATATTTTAATTTTAAGTAATAGTTTCTTAGATACAATTAAAGGTTTTAATATGGCCAATTACAGACTACATTTCGATAGTCCATCTGTGAGTATTAAAGCTAGTCTACATAGAAATCGTGAATAGTCGTAGCATCTCGAATTGTAAAAAATTGATCAGTCCTAGTCGAATATTCTCCTTATATTTGATTGTAATTGGTCAATTTCCTACGATTTAAAACTCCACGACTCCTATGTAAAGGTGCCGTTACATGCAAGCGTCGAGCGTCTGCGCAGAAGATTACTGCTAATTACTGCGCAGAAGTTTGAATCTCCAGACTCCTGCGTAATAAGGCCTGTTCTTTTTGGCTGAACTTTTGCACCAGTTCATCTTTCTTCCTTTTTTCTCCAGAAGGAAAGAAGAGGAAGAAAAACGAACTGGTGCAGAAGTTCAGCCAAAAAGAACAGGCCTATAATCTTCTGCACAGCCTTTTGATGCAAAATGGTAAATTATGAGAGGTTATGTTCTGATATACATTACTATCCTAACATATAATGCTGAAAATTTATATTTATTTACATTATATAGTGTAAACTACAAGATTCCACTATTAGTGTATCTTGTACATTAAAGTCAATTTCAGTAAAATTATTAAACATATCACTGCGCAAGCTCTGACGCTCGACACTTGACGCTGCCATGTAAAGGCACCTTAACGTTTAGTGAACGCACTGAAGAGCGCGCGCACCTAGAGAAAGGTTTCTTTGATTTAAAGAAATGTTTCTTTGCAATGCGGTTAAAGAAAAAATTTTTTAATTTGAACTTCATTTTATTTAAATAAATTTTAAATAAAGCGCCGTTTGTATTATTGTTTTAATTCTTATTAATTATATTATATCTTCAATTTAAATATTGTTTTTTTATGGTCCGTAGCCCTTCTAAATACTTTTATTATTAATTTAAATTAATTTTTTTATTTAATTTCAAAAAATGATGTTCAAATCAAAGAAATAACGTTCATATAAAAAAATTTTTTCTTTAACAGAGTATAGCAAAAAAAACATTTCTTTGAATTGAAAAAACCTTTTTCTGGGTGCGCGGCTTATCAGTGCACACTACCGCACGTATGTCTGATCATGGACATGAGGATAAAAATTACTTAAAATACAAATTTATAATTACTTTTAACTTAATTTTATGAGAAAGATACTGCTATATTATTTTGAGTCGCAAATTTTGGGACACCCAAATATATATATCAAAACAAAAATTTATGCCATTTAATTATATCATAATCGTTTTCAAATACATAAATGTATCAAACATTATGCTTATGTAATCATTATTACAATATCAACTTACCGTTAACATTTGATAACCGAGGATGCTTACGAGACAAGTAGCTCCTAAAAGATGCGCCAGCAATGTTGCACTAAATGCTTTTCCTATTATCTTTCCCATTCTGAAAAAATCCAAGTTATATAAATGTAATTTATTTAAATAAAAGTTGCTAATAACAGAAGTTTATTTCAAATTTTAATTGGTAAGGTAAACAGCTCTAACAAGAAAATACAACCCAATATTCTCTTTTATTTTATGTATAATACGCTTTGGATATGTTAAAATATAGACAAAAATAAAAGACAATTTTATTACACAGATTTTTTTTATATACAAAGCTTAAGTCAGAGGGGGACACTTAGTTGCGTTTCCCTTGTAAGTAAAGAATCGAAAAAAATAAATAATTTATCTAACAAAAATCTTTATTTTAGGCAAAGTGAAAAAGCTTAAATTTGTTTAGTTTTAATTAAAATGCGAAACTAAAGGAGAGCTTTTAAAAATACATGCACTTAACTCTTAATTAAAGCTTCCGCGTCATTTGAATGAGCTCACCGTAATAATCGTACATGCATGAGCATCACATGTCGCATCTCAGGTCCACAATCACAGACTTCGGTATCTATATTGTTAATGCGCAAAGCAAGAACCGACATTTGACCGCAAATGTGAAAGACGAGGGTAATCATAATACAGTCAGCGGTGCTTTGTCCAAAAGCACTGATGAAGGCAAACGGCATTTGCCAGGCGTATGTAATCGTGTACGTACGCATATTCTCAATCGCGTACAACACATGAAAGCGATAAGGCAATAGGTAAATTATTTGAGTCACGTTTTCCTTGGTCACTATTTCGGGTAGTCCTGAGAAAAGGTTCAACAGTGATGTTAATACTAGCTTTTAAAAAAATCATATTTAATAAAATTTCTACCTTTGGCATATTTTTCAAACTCAAGGAGATACGTAGATTTTGAAAACTTGAAGATAAAAAAAAATATTCATCATAAAACATGAAAACTCGTTCTGTAAAATCAAGTCATAATAAAAATGCGGAATTGCCGGTTAACGAGACTTTATTTGTTTCACATATTTCACATAATTCTTCTAAATACGTCGGGTTCAAGTTATATAAAAAAGCAACTCACCTCCATTCCCGAGAATAATAAGAATCGGAGTCAAATAGTATGATGAAGCCGTTATCGTGACAAACACCATCATCAGCTTAAAAAAGATCCTCGACTTAGCATAGTAAGTGACGAATGTTTTAATTTCTTCGGCGGTTTTATAATTTGCCTTATCAAAATCCTTCATGGCCTCCGTTATGACTTCACCAATTTCATCGTTATATAACCTTAGCGTACTCATTCGCACAAATATTTGAACAAATGCTATGCTCTCTGTCAAATTCATGATCACGTGCTCAAAATCACCGATGTAAAGAAAGAAGTCCAGATACTCCAGAATCAAGAGCAAAGCGAAGTAGCCAAAATTAATCGAGAAGATAAGATCGTTGGATTGAAAAGGCCAAAGACCCAGCGTCGACATTAGCCGTTTGTTCCAAGATAACACCTTGGCCGCACGATCTAAGTCTTTTTGATCCTCAAAAAAATATTTAAAAATCTTTGTGATTAATCGTTAAATAATGTAATAACAAATAATGTATAATTCTTCATGACGTTTTGTAACAATGAAAAAAATCGGCAGCTGATCACCTGCATCGCGTGTTACGTTGTTCTTTCCTCGAGAGCTCGCATGAAACTGTACCGAATATACGAACGTAACAGTCCAAGTAATCTCTGTTTTCATGCTTAGAGCTGTCTATAGAATCTGGGATAGAAGCACTCAGATTATAGGACAGGTAATAACTGCGCCCAAAATTAATGTATGAATTGCATATAAGTGTGTTACTGAACCCACCTGTGCTTTTCATCCAAAGTAAAATTGAGCATGATTGGTACTTCATCGATGCAGAATTGTACGATTATAAACAAAAGTTGCTATCAGTTCGTTCTAGACTGCGTGTACAAAAAATTCAGCTTCACGAATATTGTGTAGTGTAACTGTAATTGCAATCTCGGAACACTAATTTTTCCATCATGATAAAAAATGGAAAGAATATGTATATTTTAGATTATTTAGTTAAATATTTAACGGATATTTCAATACACTCAAAACGATTTCAAGGCATAAACAAAGAAATGCACTTTACTTACAAATAAAAATTAAAATTTTAATTCCTAGAAAAATAGCCATAAATTATACAATTATTTTTGTTTTATCATTTTATTACGATTTTTAGGATTTTATATACCTATGTAATACGATGATATAAACATTGTAACTCAAAATATAAATTGAGCGCATATTTTTGAATGTCTTGCTCTATCTACTATCTCTACAAAATCGTTCAATATTGTGAATTCTATTCTTTAATAATAAAAACAAATTTAGTATAATAATAATTTTCTCATATTCCTTCATAACATAATGGTACGCAGCATCGATAAATACGCCAAAGAAGTTTTGATAACCTGCATCAGGATACAGAGTGATCTATTATAAACTTTCCATTCAAGTATCTCCCGAATTATTTGTTATTCGACAAAAAGTTTCAAGTAAAATCTACTTCAGAGATATCTTCAGCTAGGAAAAATGTGTATTCATTATAAGATGTCCCCCTTGAATAAGAGTAAGTTTTACTTGAAATATTTTTTCGAATAACGAATTGTTCGAAAGAAAATTACATAGAAAGATTATAATGAATAATCCTCTTATGTATGTATAATATTATATAGATTTGTATTAATAAAAATTTTATTGATTGAAAGATATTGAAAAAGCTTAATTGAAAAGCTTTGTATGCAGAGGATGGCGCATGAAATGTCGCACAATTTAATTATTTCATTAAAATTATACTTGTGGAGTATCTGTTTTTTAACTGTGTAAATAATTTTATACTTCGTTTAAGTTAATCATTTATTGTCCGCCATTTCACTAATTGATGTGTACTTTTTTATTTCCGTCCAATTCCGATTCGTGATACCACATCTATAATAACATAGTTTCCACGAAGTGGAAATTTCTCATAAAAAAACTGATACTCCACAACAATAGTTTTAGTGAGGTAATTAAATGGTATGATATTTCGGATGCTATCTTGTGTAATATAATCATTAATAAACAAGTATTGGATTGTCTAATAATTTTCTTGTGTTTAACGGAAGTAATGCGGTAACATCAAATAATGTCACTAATAAAACAATGTTTATTTATATTTATATTTCATAGTAAACATTTTATGAAAGGTGACGTTTTAATGTGCTTTAAAAAAATTTACTAATTGACATGAGTTTTGAGCATTTGGCAGCTTTGAACATGGGAAACAAGAATAAGTATTTTCTGCATATTATGCTGTTTTACTTCCACAAAGGAAAAAATGTTGCACGAAACCATAAAACGACATAAAAAAAAAGAAATTTTAATTTAAAAGCAGCAATGAATAAAATAAAACGGTATGTGCTGAAAATATTTATTTTTGTTGTTTATATTCAAATAACTCTTAAATGCTCAAAACTCAATCAATCTTAGCAAATTTTTTGTTGAATACGCGTTGAAATGTCATATTTTACAAAAAGTTTACTATAAATGTGATTAAATATTTACTAGTGACATTATTTAATGTTAACCATATCTTCTAAAAAATAGAAGGAAATTGTTCGTCAACCCAATATTAAATCTATTTGATAAATTGCATTTTTTATTACTTTTACTAATAAAGATAAACGCACTTACGTCTGTAAAACTGTTTAAAGAAAATATATAAAATCTTCCGGCTGTTAAATAGAGTATAACTTGGCCACGAATCATACATATTAATAGGCATTTCCTGAAACTGAGCGGCATCTGGTACCAATTGCATTGATAATACGCATTCTGCACGCTTATGCACTAAACACAAAATAGTTGCATAATAAACATTCAATATAAAAATTGCGAAAGAAATCCTTATCATTAATAACTAGACACCGGATTTTTATGCAAATATTTTTTGCAGCATACACAAAATATGCAAATTTGTATAAATATGCAAAGATGCACAAATAAATATATATTTTTAGAATGCTTTTTTAATAAAACAAATTTCTATTTTGATATTACTTATTAATCTGCTTTCTAAAAAAATATGAAATTGCATAAGAATCTGATGTCTGTTAATAACATAAGACAAAAGGGGTTTTTCCCTCTGTCAGGCGTTAATTATTCCTTTTTAATGATACCTGTTGAGCTAGTTGTTCACCAATCAAGCAATATCCAAAGAGCATAACGAGCGCAGTAATAGCGAAAAATATAAAAGTGAAGCAGGTTGGTATTTCTGAAATATCCAAGTTCTGAAAGACGTAAAGTTATTTACAAGGTCACATATACAGAATGCTCTATAACTTTTAATTATAATATTTCAATTATGATATTTTAATAATTTTTTAAACAATTGAAATATATTTCTTCTTAACAAAAATTTTGGCATATGCGTGTCTCTTTGAACGCAAGAAAACCGCATTAGTGAGAGATGGCACTGGAGAGTTCAATGCTTTCCTTTGTGCTATTGTGCAGTTGGCAGAGAGAAGGAAAGAGAAAAACAGAGGAAGCGATTGCTTTTTTTGTTTTTAGATAGAAATTTTAATAAAATTCTATAGAAAAAAATCAAGAAGTATAATATCAAGTATATATATAAACGTTATAAATATTTTATAATACAATTAATAACAAATAATAACAATTTCTATCGACCAGCACTTGACATTGCTAAATTAGATCTTTCGTAATAATGATAATCAATAATATGTGACATACCATCATGACATAATACAATGAAATAGCCAATACAACACTATTGCCGAAGAGTTCATCCAGAAGAATCAAATTAAAAATATTGTCCACGGATTTCGCCATCCTTCAGTCATCATGATGTTTCGACAACATAATACACGAAAGGAATGAAAAAGCAAATTTAGCTGAGACTAACTACTATACAATACTATTATACACTATTAATAGTAATATTCTTACCGTATTATCTTGAGATGCATTCGAACGATATTACGAAATCTGTGTACTAACATGATTTGCGAGTTTTCTTCAACATGTCTGATACGATATGACAAAATGGCTAATTCGCCGCAAATATGAAACACTAAGACAATCACCAGACATATCGCTGCCATATGACAAATAGCTATGTAAATCATTGGAAATAAATACAAATACATCAATGTGTACGTACGAAGATTAGTAATATCGAAAAACGTATGGATTCTATACGGTAACGTAAATGATTCCGTACTGTTACGTAATTCTGAAAGAATTAAGATCAGAGAACAAAGAAACATTAATATCAAAGAAATTTATTTGTTCGAATTTTATTTCAAGCAAAATACTTGTAAAGCACAGAGTCTCTTCTATGATTATGCAATGATTGCAGAATATATAGTCACTTCTATAATTATATAGAGATTGGTCAATATTAAAATAATGCAATGTGATTTAAATATTCCTCTATATTTTAGATATACTGTCTATATTATAGATACAATAGATTTATATTTATAATAATTAGTGCGAAAAGGTTCAATAATTTCCACATACCTTGATTAGTAATTGCGAGGTACATAAGCGGTCTAAAATAAAGTAATAAGGTTGTGACGAGCATGCCAACGTTTGAACCATATGTGAATATTTTAGATATGCGATTGTAGTTGTAGTAAATTATTTCTTCCTCAGAATTCTCAAACTTGTGTTCTGCTATATCCTTTTTCATTTCATCAATTACGATCTTCAGTAAATTATTGGAGTGTATCAGCCACACTATCGAAAATGTCATGGCGTGAACTATCGTTTCCACGAGACTCATCACCATCAGTTCCAAATTACCAAAAACGTTGTAAAACTCGGTAAACGCCATGATGAAATAATGGATGTAATACGTGATATAAATTGAAAAACGGACGTACGACTGCTCGGATGGCCATATTCCTCCGACGGAAAAGATCCGTTCCAAATAAACAAATAAATCTTCAATATAGTCTTTATTCTGTAATATTATATTTTAAATAAAAGTTGTTGATACGACGTCGGTTTTAAATAATGTATTAAAAGAACAGTTAGATAAGTTACGATACGTAATTAATATCAAACGCAGAATAGTTTTTTCTTTTTGGCTACGGAATATCTTTCTCGAAAGAGTATTAATTTCTTACACTCATGGCAAATCGAGTTGTAGTTTTTCATCAACCGATCGTCCGCGATTGTGATTTGTTTTCTTCCAAACCAAACTTGTGCATTATTACGTTAATTCATATGCGTGACAGTCGAACAAATAATATCTGGATATTTGTATAGTACCAATTTTGTCATTTTGCTATTTTGCTATTTTAAAATTCTGTACATTTGATAACATAACAACTTAATAATCAGTCTGCTATTAAGTTGTTATTAGCTATCATTTTTCTTGGTGCACTAATTATCTTACAGTCTTTCATACAATAAAAAACAATGCTACTCTTTTATTTTTCTTTCATTTACATGTCTTCTATTTCTCTATATTCGGCACATCGTAGAAAAACTACAGCAATCGCAATAAATATGATGTAGATAGTTATTAAACTTTTTAATGCTCTCAAAATTACAAAATTGTTTAATTTAGTCAACCAATAAATAATATTGTCAACCTATTCGTCTTCATCTATACGCAAAACACTATTTAATAAGATTATTCTGTGCTTTTCTGTCACTTCGAGTATTCTGATTGAAACAATTGAGGTTTGATCTTAGATGTGTTGCATTCTATCATTCTATAATCATTAGACAAGTGTGGTGGTATCTAATAATAGTTATCCTAGATATTATATTAGATATTATATTAGATATTACTAATCTTGCATTGCTCATGTTAAACTTATTAAATTGAATACATTTTGTATCCGATATTGTATATTGTTCTGTCATTTCTTTTTAATTCTTTTCTATGTTAAAAACATAATTTTTTTTTAAGTATTTAAGAATCTAGTTTAAGTTGTTCACTGTAAACAAAATTTAATAACACAGAGTGTCCGTAAAAAATATATTAGATTTGTGCTATGCGAACAATATTGGTAAGATTAAAACAATACAGGATTATATATAAAATGCAATTATATCTGTTATTTGGTGTGCGAAATCTGTTTCCTGAGAATTAATTATTATTAATCTAAAAGTGTGATAGCAAAAACAGGTGTGTAAAATTATAACACATAATCGTTTTTAAAATTGATTCTAAAACTGGAATGTGTTATTACATATGTATCTTACTTTCATATTAAATTAGTTGAATAACTTTATACTTTCTTACGATGTACATTTAAAACTGAAACAGTTAAAAAAAAATTGTCTACGATATGCCTATAGTCGATCGATATCATCGATGATCCATCATTACAATGCAATTGTAATTTGAATCGAAAATGTTCACATAATAGTTGCTTCAGTTTGTGCAACATTATTCACATTATACATCTATTATCTTACTTCTCAGTACAATGAAAACAGCCATGTGCCCGATGGCCATGTCGAAAACTTATTTGCTAATTATTTTTGTTTGGCAGTTGAGACGAGTTCTACTGTCTAAAACTAAGAAAAAAACTTAGCGTAGCATGAAAATCAGTTTTTACAAAAAACTCGCTAATTACAAACTTTAAGAAATAGAAAAAAGTTCAGAGAAAGAGAGAGAGAGAGAGAGAGAGAGACTGCAGACTATAACTCTATTCAGTGTATCTTGGAATATTGTACTGTTCAAATCGAGTATGTGCATTTAAAGAAAACATACTGACTACATACAGAAAAAATACTAATTTTAATATTTATTTGAATAATTCTATGTATCTGAAGACACTGTAATGTCTCGGCGTTAAGACATGTTATTTATTTAAATAAATGTTTACTTACGATTAGTGCTATTAAAAAGAATTTGTGTCCAGATTTAATAAAATTTTCTTCAGTGTATCATTAGTTATTTAAAAATATTTTATTAGATTGACTGTATAATTCTTTTAAATTTTCGTAAGTCGTACGTGTAAAAAAGGTAAGATAATCATTTAATTATTATCTTTCTTTACTCATCGAGATTTCTTAGTTAACAATAAATATTTATGAAATATTCTTAAAAGGTTCCTGAAATCTCCAAGAAACATTCCAAGAGTATTCCGGAATATTCCGAAATATTTACGGAATGTAAAAGCAACATTCAAATATCGGCTAAAAATTCTATTTATATATCGTTACATATTTTGGGAATGTTTCATATATGTATTCCGTAAAATTTTAATCTTTCCAAAAATTCGGAATCAGTTTTTAAACAAAATTTTACTTTGAAAAACACACTTTCACCTTCGAGCTAGAGATGGACGATTCAGATCGATCTTTTTGGTCTTGATTTTCGGTTTTTTTGGATCGATTTTCATGTCTCGGTTAAATTCGCAGATCAATTCTTTCACGCAAAAATCGAATCGAAAACTTCGACTTCGATACTGCTATATAAATACACCTATATAAATATATAAATATGATTCATATTTTTTTTTCAATGTTCAAATGCTCCCTTTTTCGAATGTAACATTAATTTTCAATTTTGACCCCAGCAAAAAATTAAAAAAATTCTCAAAGCTTAGGGGACTCACATCGGACCGGTTATTACTTTACATTTCGACATCTATATATTTCTGTATTACTTATTATAATATAACAGATCAAAGCTTATTTATTGAAAATATATAAATATATTTGAGACACTTAATACAAAAAAATTAATGGTCTTAAACTCAAAAATATTGATAATTGTTGATCACTGATAATTGCAAAAATATCTTCGGCACGTGATTATACTTGTAGTAAAGTTTTTCTTCCTGAAGCTTTGTAGGCAATGTTGGTCAAGAGGAGTGGTCGAATAGGAGTAGTCTGTGGCTACGAACTGTCCATGATGAGTGAAATCGTCAATTTTTATGGTTGAATTAATGACAGCCAGCATATGGATCTCCTTTATACCTTCAGTGAAGCTGAAGCTGCACAGAAAATATTCTGTTTGAACAAGCGACGAATAAGTACGTTACGACGAAGTGATCAGAGTCTGCCAAATAAAATCGGACATAGACTTCATATCTTCATTAAGACTGTGGGGACGAAAGAGAGATAGATTTGAGCGATGGCCAGCTTGCCAAAATCAACCTAGCACAAGCGATCTATAAAAATATCGATACTTACTTGCTAGACGATCCCCTCTTCGTGGATTCGTACGTCAGCAGACATCTCGTCGACAAGTGCATCTGCAGTATATAAAGGTAAGAGTGGCATGGTGTAGCAAAATATTCATATTGTGATGAACAAGCAAATCTTTACAATTTTACAATTTTTCTATGATTGTTTGTCGAGTTTTACTTAACCAATTATTAATATTTTCTAATCGTTTTATTTTAAATAACTTGGTAATCATGATCAAATTGTTAATGAAAGTTTCTTGATTCCAAATCATCTTGGATGATAACCTCTGAACGCATTTAGCTAAGATACGTAACAGTAATAATAATAATAATAATAGCAAAAATATATGTTAGAGATGGTTTGAGATTATATAAGATGAAGCCAAATTGAGCGATCTTTTTCAAAGTTATATAAATCAATTGAAGCGTATTCTTTGTGCAATTTATGTCAATTAAAATGTTTTACATATAACAACAAACGATATTTTAAAGAACTTATTTTTATGTATAAAATTTGATTTAAAATAAATAAATCTTTTACATAAAAACAATTTACAGTTTTTGATGACAATAAAGCTTCTTTTTCTCTTTCACTCTTTATTATAAATTATACATTTATTTCTATTTGAGCATGTTCAATTTATAAATTATTTTTGCACACGCTTCCAAAAATTATTGCTCTTCAATGATGTTATAAGAGAGAACGTAATACTGATAAATATCCCATGGATGTTTTCAAAACCTGTTAAAATAATTTATTTCTGAACAATGTTTTCGTGTTCTTATATTAACAGTGACGATATTTCAAATGTCCAAAGTTAAGCGAAGCCTTTTTATTTAAAAAATTTTATGAATGCATGCAAATCATCAGCTTACGTCAGTTAAAGTGCTGAGGCAAAACATGGTAAATTTTCCAGCTATCAGGCAGAGCGGTTTTTGCGATCTTGCCATGCATAGTATTAGCATTCGTGCATTATTCTTTGACATATCATACCAACGACAATTGTAAAACGCTTCACACACTTTAGCACTCTGAAAAGGTTATTATACTATGAAAAAACAATAAAAAATCATGCATAGATATAGAATACAAATTTTACTATATATATATGCATTTTATTATATGTAGCTCTTTTAATTTCCATCTTATACTTCCATAAAACGTTACCTCTGTCAAAAGGTTCTCGCCGACAATACAATGAGCATAAAGTATAAGCAGGACTAAGAATATGAATAAAAAGAATTTCACTAAAAGTGGAGCAACTCCTGTCTCACCCTTAGAAAGATTCTACTCACATAAAATTGAAAATTAAAATGATTAATAATAAACTGTCATTAACAAAATAGTGTGAAAACATTTAATTAATAATATTTTTTTTAATTCTTAAATCACTTTTTATGTGTTAGAGCTTTTTAATGCGTAACATAAATATACATATATGTAAAAATTTTAAATAGATTATCTTACTAAGAACAGTATTATCAATGCTATGAATTGATCTCTTTTTGCATAATATTATTCTAATTAAAGTTGCGATATGCAAATTTGCTATTTAAAATATTACAGTAAGAAAATTTTCGAAAAATTAAATAAAAAAATGTTATTCCTATATTTTAATTTTAAGCAATGGTTTTTCAGATACAAGGGTTTTAATATGGCCCTTTACAGACTACA